CCTTCATGGACATTCGCAAGCCACAAGGGCGGCTGTTATCTCTATTGAAAATTACAGCGATAAACAGTAAACACAGATGTAAAACCTGACAATATCCCTGTAACATAGTTAGCCCTTGTCAGTTATGCAGAACGCGGAGCCTGAAAAGAAACAATGTCTAGTCGTTCGGATGAGACTGTACACATTGAGATGCACGTAAAAGAGCCCTTGATAGTTGGAATTCGAAATAAGACTATGACGTAGCAAAATTTCATCTTCATTAGTCCGCGTCGGGGCAGAAAAGTAGGACGTTAAACCCCATTTCATTTATACATAGAGTACTTTAAATTGTTAACCTCTTTAGTTCTCGTCGCTCTGTAGTTCTCGTAGTATCTTAAATTGTATCATTGCTTGGTCAAGACTAGAAAAGCCCAGTCGAAACGTCGCTCAGTAGTTCCTGTCGTATTTTAAATTGTATCATTGCTTAATAAAGATTACAAAAGCCTGGTCAAAATGTCGCTCAATAGTTCTCGTATTTTAAATTGCATCATTGCTTGGGCAAGACTAGAGAAGCCTGGTCGAAATGTCGTTCAGTAATTCTCGTATTTTAAATTGTAGCATTGCTTGATAAAGACTAGAGAAGCCTAGCAATAAACGTTAATTGCATTCCGTAGTAGAATTGTGTCATGCGGACTTCCAGTTCAATTACTAAATGCCGTTTTAATAATTTACTACTTTCTGGTACGTTGATGTTTTTAAGTAGTATAAAAGAACACTGCTTCAATCAATACAAACCTTACAGAGAATTAGATTTTCATCAACTAAAATCAATTTTATCTACTACACCGTTCGTTGATATTCAGAAATAAAGCATTTATTCTCTTCGTGTACGTGGAATACTGGTAAATCATGAAATAATAATGACTAGCAGTTTCAGTTGAGTTAACATACAGAAATATCTCAAATATTACCTAATCATGAGATCTTACTATACTGTGTCTCCACTACTAGTCTCTTATGTATTGATACATACTTAAATGAGAGACAAGATACAACGTGTATCGTCAATATTAGGTACCGGTAATGCTCTTTGACGAGTCGGTGTGTACATGATTTAGCTTTTCCTTTCTATTTTGGGCCAGGTCCTGGGCCCCAAGCACTACTTCGGATAGTTTTTTTTATCTTGCCCTTAGGCACGAACGTACCTTGGGATGAACATCCGTACTTTGAAAATCTGAAATCTGAACAAATAGTGTATTTCTTTTTGAATCTGAGACTTCAGATGGCTCCTTCAGATATAGTAGGGCTGATAAAGGTGATGATATGGGCTAAATTTAACCGATTAAGTTAAGCTAATAAAACCTTAAAACAGTCCTAATGATCTTCTTCTTCAGTGCAACACTCTTCGCAAAGAAAAAGCTCTCACAATTCAAGTACGATCGTCATGAAGCTTGGCATGCTTGTTCCGTACACAATTATGCATCGTCATAATTTCAAAATGGCTGCGATTACGTCATACTCATTTCCTGATATAAGAAGTAACTATTAAATCGTGGAGATAAACTGTTCAACAAACCATGACCAAATATTCACTTACAAAACATTTGATATTATAATGTATATCATATATTGATAGAACTCACGGTTATCATATATGCCAAATGTAGAAAAATAACATATACCAATGTTAAACACATGTTATAGAACACATTGTAACCAAAAATATAAAATGTTTATAACATAAAAATAACCTAAGTCTTCCTATGTAAGTATACATCCCTTAGTCTTAGTCTTTGGAAATATTTTTTTTAATCCAAATGACGAAATGGTTGATAGACTAGTATGCCCAGTGGGAATATGATATATCATACTGACAAGAACAACCAGACAGTTATGGATCGTATCTATTGATAAGAGTGTATAAATGACGTAAAGGGGTTCCTCCAAACTATAGACATGGATCTAACAGTAAATATTAAAGATTGGCAATCTATGTAAGATTCTTGATGAATTATTTATCTAGTATTTCGTTTCAATCGACTTTTATGATTTCATTGGTGACTAGAAGGATTGAAAAATAATAAGATCTCAATTATTGAAGAATCAAAGGAAACAGTTCTGGCACCACTAGTCAAAGAAAAAGTAATATTTCGTCGAATGCATCAGAAAATCATATGAGTGAAGTAGAAATATTCACAAATTATACACCAGACCTGAAACATGAATATTATTCTGAGTGATATTAATTCAGGGCAAATAAGTTATAGTGAATGAGTTTAGTATTCGGCCACCTATATAATTTGTGAGTATTTAAAATTTGTAGTATATGTTCCAAAGAATGGGATCGGATGTAGATTGTTCGAGAGCAGCCGATTTTCATACTCAACAGGTAGAAATTGTTATAGTGTATATTGCTTGGACCAGTCAATGTTTTATTCACGTTAAATAATTTGTTCCTTAAATTGTTGGGGATTTCCGTTTGGATGTTTAACCTTATGCTTGTACATGCTCGGATTTCACGTGTGATCAGAAACCAGGGGAACAAAGATCCACCCGGATTCTCACTAATGAAACATACCCTAGACATTTGTTTCCGCTAGCTGACATAGATAAAAAAAAATTCTTGGTCAAACCCACTGCCCTATCATCTATATATAAATCAATTAGTGGGTGGCTTTGTTAAACGATGGGTATTGGTGTATATACATGTATACTGTACATGCAATTTTGTACTTAAAGATGGGTTCCAAGAAAAGTATTTATCGGGTTTTTATTTCCAAAAAAAGTATAGCAATTTTGGTATATATGGAAAGTAGAGATATCCAATCTTACTAGAAAAATACTGGATTCCCCGAAAAACATTCATGGAGCGTATACAGGACAAAAATGTAAGGGTTCCCCTAATCAACAGCCCGACGATAAGGAACTTCTGCACGCGTGATGTCAAAGGTCACAAGCGAACATTGAGCGCTTGATGTACAAGTTGATAAAGTTTATGAAGAGTTAGACGTACAATACTTTCTGAGATAAAACTGACGGAAAAAGACGCGGGTAGTGGATAATCCGAGAATTTAATTAGGATTTGATATTTGTAATAAATAGTAAGCGATTAAAGACAACATCGTCTTATGTATGTAATGAATTCTCCTCTGACTCCCAAGACGTGACGTAAACATGACCTGGTTTGATCGAATTTTAATAGCAGGGCATTCCTTCGCAATTACAATGTTTGAGAAGGATCTGAAGCATTATTATGACAAATTAATTAGTTTGTCCATATTTACCATTAAATCACCCAGTTTGTACGCGGAAACCCATCTTTAACGACCTAACTGTACTTTCTTACAAACATATATTTATATATCGTAGCTATTACGCATTTTTCTGTTACTAGATGACCCTGATAGGTCAATTACTAATGATTTAAAATTATAATAGTCTGACGCATACATACGTCTGTAGTATGTACCTATCTTCATTAGGTAGGCCCCGCAGAAAAGTAGGAGGTTAAGCCTCATTTCATTTCTTCAGTAGTTAAGACTCGACTTGACAACACCATATGTCTAAAGTTTTATAGAAAATGGGCAAATGGCGTCCTTGCATTTTTACGCATATATGTCCCCTTTTGTTTTTTTAGTTTGATTTGATCGTGGTGTACTTTATTATGAAATAAATGTTTTAATTTTGTTCCAAATACCAAAATAGTATCGTTCGTCCTACAAAATATTTTGGATGCTGTCTTGGGCATTATTTTTCTTTTTTCCCTTGGAGTATAACACAGTGTGTTCCATGTTTTATAACATATTGTTTATATTTGGTATACAGTATAACACTGTTTTGTTATATTTGGTGTATATAATAGTGTGTGTTCTGTATGTGGTGTGTATATATTAGCGTGTGCTCTGTATTTGGTATGATTATATTATAATAGTGTGTTCTATATTTTGTGTGTATATAATAGTGTGTGTTCTATATGTGGTGTGTATATAACATTGTGTGTTCTATATTTAGTGTGTAATGTAATAGTGAATCTTCGATATGTGGTGTGTATATAATAGTGTGTATTCTGTACTGTATAATATATTCTAATATTGTGTGTTCTATCGTTGGTATATATTATAACAATGTGTGTTCTATATTTGGTATTATATTATTGAGTGTTTTATGTTTAATACATATTATAACATTATGTGTTCTATATTTGGTATATATTATATCATTATGTGTTCTATATTTGGGATATATTATATCATTATGTGTTCTATATGTTGTATATATTATAACGTATGTTCTATATAATATGGTATACATTATAACATTGTGTGTTCTATATGTGGTATATATTATAACACTGTGTGTTCTTTATTTGGTATATATTATAACATTGTGTGTTCTATATTTGGTGTTATAACATTGTGTGTTCTATATTTGGTGTTATAACATTGTGTGTTCTATATTTGGTATACATTATAACATTGTGTGTTCTATATTTGGTGTTATAACATTGTGTGTTCTATATTTGGTTTTATAACACTGTGTGTTCTATATTTGGTATACATTATAACATTGTGTGTTCTATATTTGGTATTATAACACTGTGTGTTCTATATTAGGTATATGTTATAACATTGTGTGTTCTATATTTCGTATTTAGCTTACACAGCTACATGTTTTTATATGGCGTATAATAAGCTGCTTTATTATATATTATAGCGTCGCGTGCTATATATTATACAATGTTTGTTATATTATAGTTATGTATAGTCTAGATTTAGTATAACGCTGGGTGTTTCATACGCGGTATATAGCAGCACATTCTGTTGTGTTATATTATAACACATTGTGTATCGTAAATCGTGTATATTATATGTTGGTATGTTCGGTAATTCTACGCCATTTACGTTATAAAACTGGATGTTAGATTGATGGTGTAAATATCATATTTTGTTTTATATATTACGTATTGCATTATAATAGTTCGATCTATCTTAACAATAAGCTAATAAACTATTTGGACTCACCTGAAAAAATTCGTCGTCCGCCTGCCGACTATATCCTATGACGGGAATATCCAGATATTGTGCCATTACGTTGACAGAATGAACCGTAGTCGTATTACCAAACACAATAAGCAGATGAAAACTTCTCGATTCTAACATAGAGCACATGGAAGTTACTGTATCATAGAAATCCCCCTGTGCCACCATAGCTTCACCGTACATTTTTAATCTCTCGCTTGAGTTGTTGAAATCGCTAATGGCCGTGTAAAATGTTCGCTGAAATTGTTCGTATTCGGCGTCAGCAAAGACGGCGCCAATATTTACAACCGGATGTCGACAGGTCACCTGACAAACACACGTAATCACCAGGACAACATCAACAATCAGACGGCACATGATAGCGGTTCCCGCCAAATTCTCTCATACATTGCTGAACAGTATCAACGACGTGGTTGGTCAGCTCCCGAAAGTATCCGAGCTACACATAACTGCTTCAGCTATTGGATGATTCAAATATTCCAAATTTGGATATCGAATCAAATTACCGATATAACGAAAGTTACTAAATTACATCCTTAAGTTGGCAGAATAAAGATTTCGGTAAAGATTAGCTATACGTGAAGCCCATACCGCACAACAATAGATATAGTTTCTGTATATTAAAATATGTAATAATCCACAATAATAAACATCGACTATGTTATTATACATAAACACGCACCTGTTGATGTTGACGTCACCATCTTCTTTTTCTCATTATGTGTATAAATAGATAATACTCTATTAAAATATATATATGGCAAACATTAATCATGTATATAATCAATAAAAACATACAGGTAAATTATATACCAATTATTTACTTATATAATAAGCTTATAGACACTATCCGATAGGTACTGACTATTAATTAAATGGCAATATACCCACATACAGTTAATTAATTGGGCTTTTTATCTCGGGCCCCGTTGGTATCGGGCGAAACTGACTTCTCCTCGTCCGTCAAAAACATCCATAGCCCCATCACAGTTGTAACTCGTTCAGACAGAGTCGACCATAGGTCGTAATATACAGCACGACAACTGCACCACATTGGACAACGTGAATTCCTTTACTTGCCAGATTCCAAAGAAAACATATTAAATAGAGAGGAGGCGGTGCCGACACGCCAAGGTTGCCGATATTATACAACACAATACTTCAAGGTTAAAGAAATTAAAATGTCTTTTGTGAATAATTCAGTAGAATTATATCAGCCCACGTTGACGATTTTTATTGCGGAATATTGACAGTGGAAGTCACTTTCAGTAAACCTTTTAATGTTGTTCACGACAGAAAACGTTTTTCTTCAATGCACTAAGAAATATTGTCATCCTTGTTTATAACCATGCCTTTAATTGAATCGTCCATCTTCTACTCTCCATCACTCTATTTTAGACGGAAGAGACACTGGAAATGAAATCGGTATAACAGCTAAACGCTTGTCACTACAATATATAAAATACTATATAATTCTCACAAAAACACTTGTAATGAAAAAATCAATTTAATGGCAAAGTTATCCTCCCAAATTATCCACAGAGTTTCAGGCTAGCTCCTATTATTTATAATGAAAACATTTGCTGTTCTAGGTTGACACTTTCACTAATAGAATATTCCTGGGACGTCTCACAAGAGATCGTAATTCTAGAACTAAAGCCTGAACGATAGATAAAATTGATATACCCAGGCTGGAAAAATAATTCCTCCGTACTTTCTCGTGAATTACGTCGTCTGAAATTGATAAGTACGGTGACTGGCACTAGGTTGGTATTCTAATATGAGTATCAGTGAGTAACGGTACCGAATATTTCTGACAACTCCTCGTAAATTAATAGAAGACTTATTCTGTAATAACGGAGCTTGGTGGAACTGATAGTGACAATATATGGTATATCGTCATCACAGCAGTCCTTCCAGTAGCAGGCTATGATATATTCATTCCCATTCTCTCTTTCGGTTGTATGAAACAGCGAATGTGATGGTTAGCAAGGGAGCGCATGGATCAATATAATCAAGTCCGGCTTGTAGCTGGAGACAGACTCGATTACCGCAAGCAGCATCAGTTTACCGACCACGAACACCCTTTCTTCGACCACATTTAACGACATACAGATTTAAACTGGTACCAAACCGAGCAAAAATAAGAATTATTGAGACATAGAGTACAGTATGTCGTTAATTAGCTATATTGAATTAGTAAGTCTGTTTCAATAATTTAAATAATTAGATTCAGCACCTTGCACAACATTCAAGTAGCTGTTGTTTATAAAATATTTTTAAGCACTCAAGAAAGAAGACGACAGCTCATTAGAATCGTGCATCAGGGAGAATAATTAGCCAAGATACAATGGATGCGTTTGTTTACATCGTTCGATAGATTCATTCACCTAAGACCTATAGTTGACATTTTTCAAATATTAAGCTATAGGTAATGACCGGTAATGTGCAAAGCGGATGATACACCTTTATGGAACACCTGATACCACTTCCTTCTGGAAATTCACTTAACTCACAATTTTCGCTTTGCTATTGAGGGTGACAATAAATTGAAAGTCAGTCACATTAAATTAATTATAATTTCATAAAACAAATTAAAGAAGCACAATCACTCTAAACAAGTATCACATTCTCAATAACCCTGGACTATTTTAAATATCGAAACCGTGTTGAAAACTACGGGGGAAAAAGCCCACGACCGTAAATTAAGCGTATGGCTCTTCTATCTTGAAATAGAAGAAAATTATTCTAAAAAGCACATATTAATGTTATATGAATGTATGTATAGCGATTTATATTCAATTTTTGAAAAAAAGTATTGTAATTTCTAATCAATTATATGTTCGGTGAAATACGTGAACAGTTCAAATTGAACGGCAGTCTTTTACGCCAGGTTAGTCCTTTCTACACGTTTTAAAAAAAATTTTGTCGTTTGTGAATGAGCCTTTGCTAATTACTTTCACATTGTCTTGTAAGATATTGTTTTTATTTGTTCATTACAAAATAGCACCCGAACCATTATAAATTTAATTTTGTCTTAAATATTGGTTACTAGGGTTCTATTTTTTCACTGCAAGATAACAACATTAATATTGATTGAAATTGACCTATATTGAATTCTAATTCATGTTTTTAATTTCGAATATTGTGGAAAATATTGAGTTAGAGATTTGGTTCCTTTAAAACCTTTATATCTGCGCGATTTACTAGCGGAATTTTTTTAAAATTTTGTTTACAATCGACTTTTAACACACATGTCGTAACTGTAACGTCAAATATTTTTTTTAACACACCAACTGTTGAAAGCGCTATGTTTATTGTTTAAGTCGTCAATTTTGTTTATGTGTCATCGTATCACCCAATTTGGTGTTATTATTCATATCCACACGATCTTTGAATGAAAATTTTTTTTTAAGAAACGAAGAGATATGACAGTGCCTATAGAAAATTAATTTTAATATGGTAATTGACTGACCGCCCTGATGGGATACGGTTGCTAAGTGCGTAAGACGCGGGCTCGCTAGCCTGGAGGTCGGGTATTCGATCTCTGCATTGGACGAGAAAGTTCATCCAGATTTTCTGGTGTGGTTCCCCCTTGTCAGTGATACAGGACGGAGGGCCTGACAAGGACAGCTGTCTAGCCGTTTGTGTACACATTGGCGTTCACGTAAAAGATCCCTTGACAGTTGGAATTCGATATAAGAGTAGGCCGTAGTGCCGCTGTCTGGGCAACTATGTTTTAGCAAACCTTAATTCGTAACATAACTCACTCACCTGTACCTTAATCAAAACATTAAGGACTGGTTTTAAAATTAATTTTATAAGTACAAAATGGCTAAAGTTTCGAATAGACGATACACGGTTTACTTAAATTCACCCATTACCCTTTCGTTCTGTCAGCTGGTTAGAAACGATTTTGTTTCTCATTTATTTCTAAATCATTTCAGACACGTAAAAAACAACATGCAAACTACATACATCTAGGTTGACGTAATTCTTCTGAAGGAAGACCGCGTTGTCATTAAATCAACTTTCTTTATGTATTTTTCGTGCGTTCAAGGAAACAAATCTTAGGGATTTGGTGTAGAAGAAAATGCCAAACCGTTGCGAAATATAAACGGGAATTGTCAATAAAACTCCAGAGAAATAAATTTATTCTTGAATTTTTTTTTAACAAAATGGTTAGCATTGCAAGACTGATATAATTCCATTAATGAAAGAAACTAGCGAAAACAAAACTATGTGGATGGTGATGAATTATCCTCACAACTAGTAGTCTGAAGGCTCAGTGCGTGGGGGTGGGGGAGGTGGACGCCCATCAAATGGGCACAAATCCAAACCAAACTTTTTTATAGAAAAAATTTGTGTAGAATACGATGCCGAGAGATAATCAATCAAGTTTACCTTTTTATTGAAATAGTGATTACTTTCGATCATTTTCAGCATGTTTTCATGATACAAGAATGGCTGCGCATTCACTTTCAGTGCAAATGACCACATTTGACCTTTGACCCCGAATATCTCGAAAACGCCCCTACGGCGGACTGGTTAGTTTTGTGCCCATTTGGTAGACCCCCCCCCCCTCTCCCCCGCGCACTGAGCCTCCGGTCTATTATAGTATAATTAAACTAATATATCAAGAAACGGTGTTAAAATAAAAACAACACCATTAAACTTGTATTGTGGGTGGTGGTGAGAACTGTTGAATTGAAGGGACACAATCAGGAATTTAGAGTGGGCCATATTGTTAATGGGATATATCCTCTCACACGAATGATATAATAGGGATGTATTTCTTATTTCCATGGTTTATTCATTCATTCATCTCGTTATTAATCAATTTATTCATCTAATATCTCGTGTGGTTTTTATAACTTATTTTAATCGATTTATTTAATAACAATTAGACCTGAAATAATGACTAAAGTTTTAATTGATGTCATTAGTTGTAATTGTTGTGTTTTATATTTTATTGTGACCTAAATTTGGTAATTATAACATTACTTCTAATCCGTAGCTTCTTTATATATTGAATTGTACATACCCATTCATAATTCTGGGTTTTATATCGTTTCTAGGACAGTCACTGTGCTAACCGGACTACTTTACTACGTATAGGTTATTTACAGTTCTACTTTCTGCACTCTTCGTCGAATTTCAACTGTTAATTGCTCTTTTCCAAG